TTAAAATTTCTATCCAGAATTTGTCAAAGCTTGCTGACTCACTACCCACTTGTGATATATGTGAAGCAGTCAACATCATCTTGTGTTTTGTGAAGGATTCATACCGAATTTCCCCAGCCTTACTTTTGGAGTTTGAGAACAATGGGGGCTATCAACTTCTGATGAACCTTCTTCTTAGGCAAGTCCACTAATAGGAGGGATTTTGTGCACTGGATGCATTTGTATTTTGAAATGTACAGAATTCAGGATTGTTGCCTGTTTTATGGAACTCAATATATATCAATGAAAATGCAGATGACTGAAAAGAGTTATTGAAAATCATGTGCTCAAATAAATGTATAAAAACACACTATAGTCATTCCATTAATGTGTAGGAACAATGGGCAAAATCCTGATGTTTAGCATAGTAAGTCTCACTAGAGTAGGCCCATTGAATCAGTGGAGACTTGATGAGTCAACTCTTCCAGAAGTTCTATTGAGTCAAATGGGCATATGTTAATTACAACTCACTTTAGTCCTGTTAGTTGCGATTACAGTTGGCCCATTTGAATCAATGGAACTTACAGACGAGTTGACTCACCAAATCACCACTGATTCAATGGACCTACAGTAATGCAATTTGCTACATAAAGCAACAGGATTTCAGCCAATGTGTAAAATTTACTAAATGTGCATAAGTATGAACCCATTTAAAAATCTACATAAAATAATGATATTTTCTGTAACAAAAAATGTGCTTGCATAGAACTATCATAGAAGGGACTTGGGGATGGGGAAAAGAAGAATTTGATGGAAACAAAATTGACATATCCACCAATACCTAACAGATAGTTTGTTGGCTGTTAATGTTCTGCCTTACTGTTTAGTTCTTCAAGCTTTTTTCTCACATGTTTTTCTCATTAATGTACAGGTGCAAGTAGACAGAAAGGCTGTCCCAGGATTATTTGAGTAGATACACAATTTCCTATGGCAGTTAAATAATTATTGTCGTTGACCTGGAATGTTTAATTATCCTGGGCAATTTTGGGGGCAAGAGTCTGTGCCACTCTTCAAGCTGCTACTATTTTGTGGGGGGGAAATCACAGGTTGCCCACCCTCTTCTTTCATTGCTACCACCATCATCTTCCCCACCTCTTTTTTTAAAATGGGCAAGTGATGTAGCACTGAACTGATGCAATAACTCGTGAAATTACAGTGCTTATCAGACATAGTGATAAATTGGACAAGGATAATTTAAAAACTGCTTGGAGGAGACACAAGTGGCTTTCTTTTTGAGGGGGATGTTCCCACTGCACTGGCTTACCATACCTGCTGAAGGGCCCGCCAGTTCAGTGGAAACAAGAGGGACTCATTTGAGAGGCATGATTCCACTGAAGTGGCACATCCTTCCAAACATTCCAAATATTTATAGCAAATAATTATATTTTATTATTATTCATACATACAAAGACATAAAACAATAAAGTTAAACACAACAAACACAACAAAAGACAACAAAAACAAAATTTCCATACTACATATATAGATCAGAGATTTCGCCATCGTCTAGGCTCTAGGTCATCTAATACCATCAACGGGTTCTTGCAAGTACTAATTTGCCACAATCATTTCTTCCCCTAAGTTCCTGTCTCTTTCTGGACCCAGTTCTTCCAATTCTGGGCCCAGAGTAACCTAGCTGCTGTGTATATATACAGTAGACTATATTTTGTTCTTTTATCAATGATCTCTGGCGTTATATTCAATAAAAATATTTCAGATTTAAAGCTTAGTTTTTGCTGGACAATTTCTTGTGACATTTCCCAACCCTGTAACCAATTTTTTTTCTTTTTCACATGACCACCATACATGATAATAAGTCCCTGGATTTTTTTTTTTACATTTCCAACAAGCATTCCTGATCCCTTCTGACATTTTTGCCAACCTTACTGGAGTAAAATGCCATGTATACAACATTTTAAGGATATTTTCTCTAAGATTAACTGGTTTAATCAACTTATAATTATTCACCCGCTTATCCTCCAGGCCATACTTTAATAGATATGTATACATTTTGTGATTATTTTCTCTTTTGTGTAGAGCCATATGAACTTTCCCCTCAAAAAAGCCCATATTTTTATTCTTTTTATATCTTGATTTTAGTAAAACAATGTCTTTAATGTCAACACTGCAAGCAAAATAAAACATCGTGCAAACAAAGGACAGTCATATTCCTTCCACCATTTCTGAGTGACTGTAAAAGACAGACTCTTAACCGCTACTGTTGAAATGTACAAAACGAGTACTGTATAGTCAAAAAAGTCGCCCATTTGAACAATATTTCCAAACACTGGTTCAGGGCAGAGATAGCTGATTAATGTATCCACAAGAGATATATAAAGCCTACTGATATTTATTAGCCTAGTGACACCCAGAAAGAAAGCTATCAATGATCTCCATGTAGCCATTAAACAGCATTGCCTGATGATGTGAAGCCTTGTAAAATTCTATATGGACTCCTCTCTGATCATATTTGGAACACTCTCAGACAGAAGACAGTAATCTGTTGGAATGCTTTCCCCATAATATTTGCAATGCATTTAAGGCAACAAAATAGCAAGATCCCTAATATCAAGCTGCTGACAATTCTAGATTCACGTGGTCTTATCTTTGACAGAACTGGACACAGATGATCTTTGTCTCGATACCAAGATTCTTTTTTCTGTTTTTATTCTCTTTAATGTAGTTGCTGTCTAGATACAGGTGGATCCCTTTCCCTTGCCCATCTCCCTTTTTTTGCATAATTTGTTCTGACTCTTAGGCAGTTGGTTTTTTTTTTTTCATCCCCTTGTAATCACTTTCAGTGTTCCATAAGGGAAAACCTTTCATGTTCTCTCCTTCTTTCCACTGTAGTTTCTCAAGGATATGCTCATTCCCCATCGCTGTTATATACCGTCCTTCCCACAAATGTGATAATTGCAATATGTAGATATACCTTCATTACTGGAAGAATTACAAGCAACTTGTCGCTATGTAGTAGTTACTAGTTCCTATCTCTGTTGATTCTATATGTAATAGCTACCTTTCCTCCTTATGTTTCCAGGTATGAGGGGCTACTGAGCAGCAAAGAAGATGCCAGTATAAGAGAAACACTGGACTTTCTGACACAACTGACTGTTTGTGGGAATACAGAACTGAAGGTATCGGGCAATGTGACAAACCCTCAGCTACCACAATTTAATGCGAAACAGGCTCTTTCTTCTGGTAAGTCAACAGTGTCAGGAAATCTGGAGGCATGATCTACATACATGGTAACACATGTTTCATGCAGAACTACAATTTGGAATATAAATATTACCTGGGGAAATGAACAGCTGGCAGAAACCAAATACTTCCAAGGCTGAAAACAATGCTTTTGGAAATGAAAAGAAAACATATGGTTTTTAAAAATGATTATAACCATTCTGTAGGTTCATCTAACAACTGCAGTTAGATGAACTTACAGAATTATTATTCTGTAAGTTATTCTGTAATGGTTATTCTGTAATGGTTATTCTGTAAGCAATGTGTAGTTAGAGAGAGTGGCCGTAATCACAGCCTACTGAAGAAAGGAAATAATTTTGCTGCACAAGACTTAGGCACAGGCAGTCTGTGTACTAGGGGAGGGGTCACTTTGTTCTTCTATGGTAAGGTATCCTCCCCCCACCCTTTGACAAAGGACTGCCTCTGGGTTTGAGTTTAAAGATATTAATACATTTGACTTTTCTGGCTTAGTTATTCCATCTAAAATGAAAGGGTTAGACTGACTGATGACTGCTTGTTTTGAGAATACAAATAGAGAGCTTGATAAGTTTGGGCAGATCATACAGACATTATTTTTATATTGTATAAGTGACCTTATTGTCAGTGTTTTTTTTGGTACATGGACTGATCTGCCTTGGGGAGTGAGTAGTACATTTCAACAAAGGAAGCTGCTTTACATTAAATCAGAATTTTGACCACTCTATCCCAGTATGATATAGAATGACTGGCAGTTGCTCCCCATTGTTTCTATCCTAACCCTATCTGGAGATGGCACAGACTCAACATTTAGCTTTCTGAATGCAAAAAAAACCAAGTTCTAACCCTTATCCACAGCCCTGCCCAAAGGATTGCCATAGGATGTAGGCAATGACAACAGTTACTGCTCTAATAAAATACTCATTTCATTCTCAATATCTGGAGATCCCTGGAACATTTGAAATGGGCCACATACTGGAAACTATTCTTTACACAGAAGAAGGTTCCTTATGTGACTTAGACAATCCTGATTCATCCTATACAGTATTTCTATCATATTGTGTTTATGGCCATGGCAAAAAAAGGTATCCTTTCACTCGAGCGGTTTCTATTACAAGAAAACTCAATGCAATATATCAAACTCCTGTGATGCACCTCTGTTAATTTTCATGACATTAGCTGAGCTTCAAAACTTTCTACAGAACTAGTGACTATTATTATTGCTTCCACAGAAAACAGAGTGAGAAACCTGAAGGCCTTCCAGGTGCTCGAATCTCTTTTCCGGAAGACAGCCAATCCCAAACTCTGCCAACATATTCTGCTGGCCATAAAATCTATCTGGATGTGGGATTCCATGAATTTCTTCCTCCTGGAATGGTCTCTGCAACCCATCTCCCAGTTTGTTGGTGTCATCCATCTCAAGCCCCCTATAGTCCAGGCACAGTTTTTTGAACTGGTGGAGTCAGTAGTGTTTGACCTCTTATACATCCCCCATGAGATTCTGAAAGAAATCCAGTGTTTGATAAAGGAAAATGCTGAGCCAGGATGCACCTCATGTGCCCTGTGCTGCCTTCACCGAATCACTCAGAAGGATCTGCTCTTCACAGATATCTTCAGAGACTCGGGGCTCTTGGGAATGCTGCTTGCCCAGCTACGCAAGGAAGCCAAAATACTAATAAAGAAAGGTAGAGCATAGAAATAATGACTACTTTACATATTATAAACGTGGGCTGCATATACTCCTGAAGCACGTTTCTGGCTCTCATGGTAGTAGACAGTCTTCTATCTTGCTGACAGTCTTCATGACCAGCATGGAAAACAAACAGAATCCATATTCAACATTTACATGGTCTACTCAAGGCTCTCACTCCCATAAGAGCTGTATTAACTCTTGAATGCATCTTTCTAAGCCATTCCAAACTGATATTTGGTGACTTTGTGTGCAATGACTCATCAAGCCCCCTTCTTTGGTAAGCTGTCCTGTTTGATTTTCGAAATAATCCAGACTTAACATTATCCTTGAGGAAAGTGATGTGACTTCTTATTACGCAGGTGGATCCGAAGCATCTTGTCAAGACCAGTCTGTGGAAAGGTCGCTCATCAGTGTGATGCTGAAGATGGTGGTTGCTCTTGTGATGGGGTCAGTTAGGAACACAGGTAAGAATAGCCAATGGAACGGTTCCCTACAACATCGTAACTAGAGTAGCCTAGAAATATAATCTCTCTCTCTCTCTCTGTCTCTCTCTCTCTCTGTCTCTCTCTCTCTCTCTCTCCTTGGACCATGCTGAATTTGCAGTTGAAGATGACATCATTTTTTTTTTGCTAGAAATTTGTCTTCCATTCCTGTCACAGCTCCGGCATGAGGAGGAGCAAGTAAGAGACTGAGTGCACAGGCTTTTCACCCACTGTGTGGAGTACTGCAGGGACAAGCTAGTGCACTCTTAAAGATGGTGTTCAGATGATTGCTAGAGTGCACCAGCCTACTCTCAGAGCATTCTGACCTGCACTTTTTTTTACCCCTCTTAAGGGACCAAATCTTTTTTTGGTGTGAGCAGAATTGCTGTGATTGCATGTGATCAGTGGAACCAATCAAAATCAAGCCTTCCAGTTTGAATTTGCAGTTGACTCCACTGCAGTGGCTTTCACTGCAGTCAATTTCTTGACTGGCCTTTCAAGAAAAGGCAAAGGAAAGATTATATAAAAAAACCTGATGCAGAACATCAGCAATAGTCTATATACAGTAAAAAAAAAAAGATTACTTCCCCTGCCCTCTGCTGAGCAGAGGAACTGATTAATTTGACAATATCCTTAAGCGTATCACTTGTTAAGCCACTTCACAATATTGGCAGGTGCTCTCTCTCAGTTTGAATGTTTAGGCTTAAGTAGATCCTTCTAATCAAGCCTGACCATTCAAAGGAGGCCCATGATAGCTCACTCCCTGCTGCTAGTGTAGCCACACCCTAACTTGATCCAAGGAATTCCTCATTTGATTACAGTAGCTTTGGGAAAGGGACAGTGGGTGATGATGCATTTATAAGCTATTGCCGCCCTCTATTGCCTTTCAGAAAATTTTGAGTGACTTGCTTTAGTCATGTGAGAAGATCCATCATGTCAGAAAATCCAACAGTTCTTACTATTTCATTCAAAAACAATAATCCATGGACAGTTAAAGTGCCTCCCTTAACTGTCTCCTGCACTATTTAACATATAACACAGTTGTTCAGAATCCTATTACTTATATACACCAGATAAATCTTGGCTGTGAATTAGCTCTGGTTGTGGAATCCATGCTGCCTTCCTCATTGCATGCCAAATCAGTAGTGCAGAGGAAGGCATACAAATATTGACTCCTAAACGAGCAGCAATTCACTACTGAGACTTACAAATTTATAAATTTGGAGAGAAGCATATAGAAATTCCTGTAACTGGGGACATGGTGGTACAGATGCATGTATCTTTGTGTGCATTTGTTAGAGAACTATATTGCAAAATTTGGAGAAATGCACTGGAAACTGAAGGATATTTGCATTTATATTTGTGTATTAGCTGGGAAAAGCAACTTTGCTTGATATGTGAAACAAATGAATTTCTTCCTCTTTCCTACTGGCAGTTGACTCCTCTTATTCCACTTCATTGCACTTATTTAAGCAAAGTTTAGTCTGTGAACACTTTGTTATGCTATGTGCTGTCAAGTCAGAACTGGCTTATAGTCAGTCTAATAGGGCTTTCAAGGTAAGTGAGGTATTTAAGGAATGATTCTGCACCCCCGATGAGCTTTCATGGCTGAGTGGGGATTTGAACCCAGGCCTCCATCACTCTATCCACTAAACCACAAAATTGTTAGTCTTTAAGTCAGCACAAGACTTCTGCTCCATTTTGGTATATTACAGACTAACTATGCGAGACTATCTTCTGTAAACTGAAGGTTTGAACACTAAAGTGCCTATATACATCCCTATGTTTCTGCTCCGTGACCTCTTGTGACTTAGCAGAATAACAACAACAACAACAACAACAATAATAATAATAATAATAATAATTTATTGTCATTGTAAGTATATACACAGTATACCATACAACGAAATTCACAGACACCCAGAGACCAGACACATGCACACACATAACATTCCCCAAACACTCCCCACCCACTAGAAGTCCCCCACTAAAAATACAAACATCTACACCGCAGGCCAAGTAACACAGTCCAACTAATTATTCACTACTGGTGGTCTTTAAGCTCATTATTAATTGCAATTATAGCTCTGGGATAAAAACTATTCAGAAAACATGTGGTCCGAGTCTTAATTGTTCTATATCTTCTGCCAGACGGTAACAGTTCAAAAAAGTTATAAGCAGGATGTGAAGAGTCTCTCAGGATGCTGTGTGTCTTCCTCAGACAGCGGGATGTGAAGATGTCATCCAGGGTTGGTAGCTGGAGCCCGATGACATTCTGGGCAATTTTAATGATTCTCTGTAGAGCTTTTTTGTCCGCTGCAGAGCTACTCCCAAACCATAGCATACAGTTAAATTTTGAATTTAAACACTGTACCACAGCTTAGCGAGGGATGTTGTTTAGTCATACCACAGCCTAGCGAGGGTGCATGGAGCCTAAACTACAGTGGTGCCTCGCAAGATGATTTTAATTCATTCCAGAAAAATCATCATCTTGTGAGGTTCCCTATGCATTGGTCAAAAAAAAAAAAAAAAGTCTTGCGAAGCATCGGTCTAAAAAAAAAGTCTTGCGAAGCACGGTCATAGAAAAAAACGTCTTGCGAGGCACCATAGTGATCGCAAAAAACAATTGTCTTACAGGTTTTTCGTCCCGCGAGGCAATAGTCTAGCGAGGCACCACTGTATAAGCAGAATATGAGACTGCAAAATGCTTTGACTACTTAATACAAAATGCAAAGTGGGCTGTGGAGCCGGAGATAGAGAGTTGAATTCCCCACTGTGCATCCCAGAAGAGCCAGCCTGTGGGACCTTGAGAAATTTGCACAGTACGAGGGTACTGCCAGAAGAATGGAACAGCAAACCACTTCTGAGTACTCTGTACCCAGGGAAACCCTGAAAAGGGTTGCCCTAAGTAGGAATTGACTTGATGGCACTTAGCTATTATATTATATATGTGCAAACATAGCTCATGTAACTAGTTACTCTTTCTTATTTCTGTAGTGATTCTCAGAGACTATGGGATGGTGCCATATATTAAGATTTTTTTAGACAATGAGTTGTACCGAAGTGATGCCGTGACTATCCTGGAGCAGCTGTCAGTTATCAATGCTGAGGAGTACATGAGCATCATTATTGGAGCCCTATGCTCTTCCACCCAAGGAGAACTGTGCTTCATTTTGGATCTACTTAAGGTGACTGAATTTAAATAAGCTTCTTCCTTGTTTCCTGTTTTTCCTTTTTTTTATTTGGAAGTGCATGATGCAAAGTCTTGGTCCTTTCTCTATTATTTTCCCACTCTGCAATGAATTCTAACTTAGGGGGAATGCATTTAAAATTAGTCATTTTTACATGTTAAATATGTAAGCTTTCCTTAAGATTGCTCTGAGGACTGGAAAATGACCAATGTTACCCAAGTGTTAGAAGAGGGAACTGGGGTGGGGTGGGAGATTAGAGAGCTGTATGTGTGTTGTTTGAGAGCAAGTCATTGGCCTCTTAGGGTAACCTCATGAACTAATGGCCTCCAAAAGGTCCTGCCATTCAGAACCCTATTCAGATCTTGCAAATTAAAGCCCATGGCTTCCTTTATTGAATCAATCCATCTCAATTTAGTCATTTAAGGTTCTAGACAGTGCAGGGTTGACTTGATCTACAACCCACTTATTTCTGTTTTCAGTGGTCCATAATACCTGTGACACTTTCCTCCAATACTATTAGGAAACGGATCTAGGATATAGCCTTCCAACTCAGTAGAGAACAGTTTCACATTAACATTCAAAATTACCATGGCAGTGAAGCAGCTCACAAAATCATAGAACATAATTCCATAGATTTCATTCCCTTTTTGTTTCCTGCTCTCTACTGATTCATCAGATATGTCTTTAATGGCATGCTGTCTAAGTGGAATAGTGTGCGCAATTTATATCTCATGAGACCTTAACTATATGGTGCCTAGGTGGCACGTTCCATAGCAGCCCTGAATGTTAATGCATCTAGCAAATACCATGACCATCTGCATCTATCCTTCCCCTCAGCAGTATGAACTACAAGATCATCTTTGGGAATGTTACTCAGGTCCTCTAACAGGTTCCTTGTGCCTGTAGGATAAGGCACCTTATGGCAAATGCCAGCTCTAGACATCCCACAGCAATGCCATTCTCCATGAAAGGAGAAAATAATTTTGGACGTACAAACTTTGTTTGCATCAGAAGCAATTCAGTGGTACTTCCAGAGTGGAATGATCAGCCAGCAGGGCACTGCTGTTGGCCAGGGATTGCCCAAATGTGCTCACGAACCTCACATTCTTTGGGGGGCCTTGGGATTTATAATTATACATTTTCTTCAGTGTATGGAGGCTATTTTATATTCTGGGTATCTCATAGCAAAGGATATATTTCAAGGGTCAATCACTATCCAATGTGTTCAGTCATAATAACTGAAGTCATGGGGAAGGTGCCTCTTTCCTCTCTATGCTTGCTATTTTCTCCACATTGTTTTGAAGGTGTTTTTCTTCATTATGTTCCTCCTCCTCTTCAAGTTTTTGTGAGTTGTTCAGATTTATTACAAGGGCCAGGGTGGTGGGACACCTTTATTGGATCTCTGAAGGTTTACATATAAGATGAGCTTCGGAGGTCTCCACAACTCTTAACAGAACTAGAAAGCTCGTCTTCTTTGTAACTTCTCAGTGATACAATACCACCTCAGTACTTAGTTGCAGACCACACCATTTTTCTTTTTTCTTTTTTTCCTTTTGTTTCCTTTTCGTTCTTTTTCTTTCTTTTTTCTTTCTTTTTTCTTTCTTTTTCCTTCTTTTCTTTCTTTCTTTCTTTCTTTCTTTCTTTCTTTCTTTCTTTCTTTCTTTCTTTCTTTCTTTCTTTCTTTCTTTCTTTCTTTCTTTCTTTCTTTCTTTCTTTCTTTCTTTCTTTATATTTACTGCTAAGTTGCGCTACAGGCTGTTTATTTTCATTTATTACCTCATATCCCAGAACTCCTGCCACCAGAAAGATACAGTACATTTATTGGCATAGTACTGCCTGCGGAACGACTAACCTACTCAAGGATGCCCATTGTTTACTGTAGAGAATAAATTTATCACAATTAATCCAACATGCTTTTTAAGACTAAGTGCATTGCTTTCCTAAACTGATATGAAAAGAGATGCAGCTTTGATGCCTAACTCTGACAATTATAACTCTGTTAATATATAATGTAAGAAAATGAATTTATTATCTATAGCCTTTGGGACTGTGATTGTATTATGCACAAATTCAGATTGATTTGCTAATATATATTTAGCTGTTCAACCCAAACTCAAATGCGATTAGTTCTACTGTATTCCAGAGTGGTGTGAGTAGGCAATTACAGGGAATAACGAATAATTCAATGTGAAAATAAATTCTGTTAGCTGTAACTGAGTTAGGGGTTTCCACTGTAGGCAAGACTTTTATAGATTCAAGCCAGAAGGATAGACAATTAAATTGTAAAAGAGTTATAGCGAGAAGAAATGTAGTTACTAGCGACCTCTCCAGATATGTGTCAAAGCCATTTTGATACACTGAAGTCCAGCTTATTAGATTCATACCTTCTTCAAGAGTCTCTGCCTGCATAATAGGTTATCATGCAAAACTGAATGACTATAATGGAATCTTCTTCCATTTCTGGCAAGACTCTTTTGAGGGGTTAAGGGGAAGGAAGAGTGATAGTTTCTGAATGGTGGTGGGAAAGTCCCATCACATGTTATTTGACATTAATTTTTGCTACGTTATGTGATGGACACTAATATCAGCCCTTCAAAATTAATAGAAATCTCCATTTTTACATGTAGATACTGAAATACTGGGCTCCGTTTACATCTCTTCCTTGATGGGTTTAAATGGGTTCATTTCAGATGAACTTGCTAGTGTCACCATTGATTCCCAAACAGTGGGTATGGATCCTGAATCACAGGATTAGAAGAATCCAACAGCATATCATTTAAGCCTCTGCTTCCCCACTAATAAGAACATGTGTCTACTGCGCCATCTTGGGTATCAATCTATGGAATCCAGATTGTATAAGAAGCTCCTTTAGAGTGTCTCTCGGTGAATGAATATACACTAAATACTAAAATAGATTTGAAATCCAACATTTAATATCTAGAGTATCTCCAGTGGGAAAAAAACTGGAGTTATCTGGGTTTTGAAATAACCAGCAGATAAAATTCAGAAATCTGATGCCAGTCAGAATACAAAGTACTACACTAACTGAGCCAGTAAGTTCACTTTGTATGAGGTAACTTCATATGTTCAAATGCTGAGGGCCACTTGTACTCTAGTTCTTTTATGAACTAGTGTTATTGCTTTGTTTAGCTTTGATGCAATTCTGCGTTATAAGCAGAAAATGTAGTCCTGTTCAGAAACTCATTCTGAAAATGTACAGAACCCTCCCTCTTTAAAATTTGGCATGCTGGGAATATATGTAAAGTGGCTTCTCAGCTTTGGAGGTAGTGAAAGGAAATGGTCTGTCAGCTCCAGTAGTTGTATCTTTGCTCTCCCCAACCCAGAATAAAGACGCGAGACAAGTATCATGGGTTAAAACACAGGCCACACTTTATTGATCATAATTCAATGTTGCCATCCTTTGGCGAAGGGGGGTCTGCCGTAGTGTGGAACCAGGTTAAATCACAAAGGTCTCAAAGTACCCCTTAATCAACAAATGGGCAAGTCCCCAGCCCCAAGTTCTCACGGTTTTAAAGACAGTGAGAATTTAAGTTCTCACGGTCTTAAAGACAGTGAGAATTCGGCCGGCCACAATTTGACCACCTCCGGACCTCAAGCCATCTTTTACTTGTTGACTGTTGGCCCTGTTGTTGCCAAGCGCATATTTCCCCCCAAGCACTGTAATCCCACGATCCTCAGTGCTGGGAGGTCCACCCCAAGCACTGTAATCCCATGATCCTCAGTGCTGGGAGGTCCGATGGGCTGTTTGCTTGCCTGAGTTTGCAATGGGACTCACCAGAAAAAAACTGTTTTATCTGCACTATCCGCCAGTGTGACTGAACTTCCACCTCATAAAATGCCAGCGCCCAGTTCCAGTATGGGATAGGAAAAAAATTCCCGCATCCAAGAGCCAATCAGGATGCGGGTCAAAAATTCCTATTTGGCCCCGGAGGCGACCAGAAAACTCACACTAGAATATAGGGCAGGCAGGTGGGTGCCAGAAAAGGAATAGGGCAGAGGGAGGGAAACATCCCTTAAATAACCTAACGTTCCCCCCTCTCGCCCAACTGCTCTCATCAGACCTAGGGGCTCGCATTATCCAGGGAGGGAGGCAAAGGTAAGCCATGCTGCCAAAGGTTTGGCTCAGCAGCAGCTTGAGCACATGTTCACAACAGTTAGTCTTCACAACTCTTCCTTTGTAATATGCACCCACCCCGACCCACAATGCTACCAGTGTCCCTTTAGGTGTCTTGACTTTAAACTTCAATTAGTCACAAGGTTTAGTTGTTATTGAGGTGGTAAATTTTGGTCTGGTGTTTGCTAGTTCAGACTGCTGGAGCTATGGAGAAGGTTCACATGATTAGATGTTCCTTCATATATTACAACTGAAAGGATTATATTAAAACCCTTTTACTTATTTGTTTTTAAAGTGAAGTAATTGTTTTCAGTGGAGGAGAATTGAGTCATGTGAGCCCCCACATTAACACTCTTAAATAATACAGCTAATAGTGTGACAGATGTCAAGGTGCTGGCTGAAGCCTGAGGGAATTGCTGTAATTCCCTGGGCCGTACAGTGGAGAGACAAATCTCAGGGTGAGCAAAATTGGAATTCACTTGTCAGGCCCTTTTGTTCATTCCTGGTTTATGGGTGTGTTCATTATGCCAACTGGAACAAGACAGGGAATAGAGCACCAGTCTTGTGACTCTTCTTCTTCATCCATAAGTCTTGTCAGCAGTGACACAAAACCTGAACAATATAGCCTTACCAATCCTGGTCTGTCCCACCTAAATGATACAAAAAAGGCCTGTCCCTTTGACCTTAGAAGGATCGAGGCCCCTGTCTCGGAGAATGGGAGTATGCTCCCAACCGGGCAACTCAAGTAGCCAAGGCAAAGTAAAAACCAGACCCCGATTCTAATTGTTTTGAATGTATGCACAGGTGATGAATGACGTGTCGAATGCCTAATTCTCTCTTTTCTCTCTCATGCTGTCTCTCAAGTCTCTCCTAAGAATACTGGAAAATCCCAAGGGTCGCTCAGCCTTCAGAACCAGTAGCGGTTTTAATGGACTGCTCTCTCTTTTGGCTGATATGGAAGGTGCCTTGCAGGACCCACCTTCAGGTTTATGGGCCTCATGTGGTCACAGCCACATGATGGAGCTTATACTGCATATACTCCAAGTGATAGCGGCTGCTCTGTACATGGATCCAATCAATAGTGACTTCTTCCAAAAGAATGGTCTCTTTGAGAAGATGGCCGAAGATCTGGGCTTGCTTGGTTGCTTCTCAGCACAGAAGTGGGGATTGATGACAACTCAGCTCAGCAAAACACGATCGTTCGCCGAGTTTTCAGAGGCAGCTGTTTGCTCCTCGGAGACCTTTCCTATTCAGCTAAAAAGCTGCATAAGTATATTCAGTTTCCTTGACTATATGGCCAGGTGCGACCCCTTCAAGTTCAAAAGCTGCTTGGTGGAAATGAAGCAAGATGAAGATCAACTTCCAGTGTATATCCAAAAGGTGAAAGAAAATAGAGAAGAACCTGAAGACAGCTTTGGGGATAATGATATGGATGCCAGTCTGTGGACAGGATCCAAAGACAAGTAAGGTTTTTTAAAAAATGTTTATAATATGAATATTCTAAAGCATTAATTAGAGATTTCTTGTTATTTTATGTTTGGACATTTTTTTCAGGTAACAATATGTTTGCATACACTCCTTTTTGTTTCCACAGACATATTAGGTTGAAAGCACACATAACAACAACAGACCTGTGTCTTCCAGTGTCATCTATTTAAGATGGGACATTTTAAAGAATGAGGGGGGAATGGTCCTGATTCCCCCCCCACTACCGTGTTTCCCCCAAAATAAGACAGGGTCTTATATTAACTTTTGCTCCAAAAAACGTATTAGGGCTTATTTTCAGGGGAAGTTTTATTTTTTCATGTACAATAATCTACATTTATTCAAATACAGTCATGCCATGTTCTTCTGGTTGCTGCACAATGGTGGAGGGGCTGGGGCTTATTTTGGGGGTAGGGCTTATATTAAGAGCATCCTGAAAAGTCCTACTAGGGCTTATTTTCAGCTTCGATCTTATTTTCAAGGAAACAGGGCATCAAAAGCAATGCAAAAAGCAAAGTGTGCTGCTTATATACCACCCCATAGCACTTCAAACACTCTCTGGGAGGTTTACAAGTTAATTATCCAGGTTACACATTGCCCCTCCCCACGAGCTGGCTACTCATTTTACCAACCTCAGAAGGATAGAAGGCTGAGTCAACCTTGAGCCGGCTACCTGGGATTGAACCCCGGGTCGTGAGTACAGTTTTAGCTGTAGTGCAGCAGTTTAACCACTGCATCAGGAAGCTCACTCTCCACCAGCAGTGTGTTTCCTGATATGGCCTCTGAGCCCAGAATGAACACATGTAGCTGGAAGGTGGAGCTGTAGGCAGGAAAGTCATGGGGAGGAGGAGACTCTAGCACTCAAGTCTGCTCCTACAGTCTTGTTTGAACTTTAAGATGAATCACAAGTGCATAAACATCTCACTTGACACAATCATTTAAATGGAAGTGGAATCTTCTAGTTAAAACAAGGATGTGGGTGTGATTTGTTTCCCCTTCTCTTTGATTGGGGTTTGGGACAATTTGTGCTTTAGGGCAAAGCACACATCTTACATGTGCCTCCATACCAAAAACCTGCAAAGTCTCAGGCAAATAGCTAAGTGAAAACCAATTTAAGGCTTTTTTAAAAAAAATTTGTGAGAGTCATAATCTCTGCCTCAAATCAGGGTAACTGGAGAATTGTTCTAAGGATTGACAGGTCTGTCTATCAATCATTCATTGTCTTGCCATCTCTCAAACTAGATGGTCAGAGATGTTTTAAAGAAATATGTTATTTGGCATGCCGGAAACTGAAATGTTACACCTCCAGCTGTGTTTGGCAAGGCAAGATGCAGAATGACCAAAAGAGTGTGTCAGAAATGGTAAAACATGGAAGGAGCCAGATTGAAGGGCCCAGGCGCAATGCTCTCTGTTTCTGCACCACAGCTTCCTATATGGCAGAGTTATTACAGCATTTAGATATGAGCATAGAGTTTGTGTTTTCCTATTTTTTCCACTTGACCTCTGGGACTTTTCTAGACTTTGGGAAAAAAATGTTCTAGCACCATTTTTTTAAAAAAATATATTTATATATTGTATGAGCAGTCAGTAGATAACTGGGCAAAAGTTTTGGCCAATTCATTATGAAAATTTTGTTTTGACTTACAGTAATTAAAATGGTGAGGATTTTTGTGGTCATTTAATTGGGGCTGGAAATGTTTGTTATAGAGCAATTTTGTGAGATGAAATGAGATACCTGTGGCACTGGGGGGCAGTGTGTGTTCTGTATTCTATTTCTCTTTTGTTTTATTTATCAATTTCCCATCAGTGAAAACTTTTTATGAAGACTGTGTTGTTAATATTCATTATTAAACTCTCATTGATGCATCCCTTTGGAACATACCTGAAATGGATAATTACCTAGCACCTCGTCCACATGCTGCTGCTAAAATTAGGCAGCCTTATTTAAAAAAAAGATGTATTAACTGATAATTGGAGATACATAAACATTTGTGATGGGGCAGAGCAAAGGAAATGGGCTGATTTTAATTTTTTCCCCTCAACCACATCTTGGAACTCTCTTTTCCCTAACTCTGCAATGGTTTATTACATGCACAGCTATTGCTGCTGAGTTGTTGGCCTACCCAGTGTCTTTGGAGGGGAGGGGAGGAAGAGCCATCCAAGCAGAGCTGAATCCTCCTTACCAAGTTCTAGACCCCAATCTTGCCTGAAGGATCCCTTCATGCAGTGTGGTGAGCATGCCTGGACAAAGTACCACTGGCTTATATTGCCCAAGCATTGGCTGATCTATTAGATCCTGTCCAATATTATGCAGCTTCAATGCATTAGGCAATTAGCAATCTCCAAAATGTCCTCAACTGCCCTACTTCGCTCTTATAAATTCAAGCCTGTGGCTTCTTTTAGGGAGTGAGTCCATCTTACATTTGGTCTTCCTCTTTTTCTGCTGCCTTCCACCTTATTCAGCATTCCTGTCTTCTCATGATGTGCTCAAAGTAGGACACCCTCAGTTTCAACATTTTTGCCTTCAGAGATAGTTCAGGCTTGATTTGATCTAGGAGGCACTTGTTCCTCTTTCTGGCAGTCCAGAGTATCTGCAAGTTCTCCTCCAGCACCATGTTTCTTTACGCGTAGTAATCTTTTTCTTTCCTCATATTATCCCTTCAATGATAAAATATGTCAGTTTTTTCATTGTATTTACTTTTGCAATTATTCACATTCCATGGCTTTGTTTTGAAAGATACACGTAGGCTTCAGTCTGGTATCTCAGACATGTGTTTCAAGTTATAGGAAAGAAAATGGGCTAATTTGGGGTAACGCATATTGACTTTGATACCTTCTTTGACCCAGAGAAACTGTGTGGTGGAGAGGAGGAAATACCTCACCCAGTGTAAGCATGAAGACTTGAAGGAGCTCCTAAAGTTATAGAAACATATCCCTAATAAAATAATCACATACCGTCAAGTTATTCTGACTTATGGTGACCCTCTTCAGAGTTTTCTAGGTACAGCGTTCTCAGAAGTGGTTTACCATTCCCTTCTTCTGGGGGCGCCGTGGGGCTATGCAGCTAGCTCAGGGCCACACAAGCTGGCTCGACTCCCAGGAGGCAAAGTTGGGGATTGAACTCCCAACCTCACCTAAGCCACTGAGCTATCCAGACATTACTAATTTTCCCTGATACTACAATCAATTCCATGGCTCTATCCCTTTCCCTAATATTCCAACAGGCCAGGAGACTGGATGGCAACACTGGACTGAACGGCTAAATTCTGGCACACTGCTGTAACCCCTGACTCCTCCCCATTGATATATCAGCAGTGGGTTGAATGTAACCGCATTGTTTCACTGTCACCACTTTCTGAGATTTGCCCTCCAGGAAAGACCAGAGCCACTGTAAGACAGTGCTACCAAGTCCCATTCCAGGGAGATAACCCAGAAGGATACTGTGGAAGAAATCTATACGTATATAACTTGAACATTTTCTCTAGAAATTTCTTCCACAACACCGTGGTATTAAAAGCCACTGAGAGTTCCAGTAGAACCAACAGGGGCACACAAAGCCACTGAGAGTTCCAGTAGAACCAACAAAGGGCACACACCCTTGTCCAGTTCCTGGCACAGGCCATCCACCAAGGTGAACAAAGCAGTTTCTCTGTAATTAAGAGTTGAAAGCTCTCCAGTTTCTGGCACAGGTCATCCACCAAGGTGAACAAAGCAGTTTATCTGTAATTAAGAGTTGAAAGCTGTTAATGTTGCAGAGAGGTGATTGATGCAATGTTTTACAGATGTCAAAGAAATCCTGCGCTTAAGTCCTGAACACCAGTCATTAAATAAAGCAAACTCATTTACTTAATCCCAATGTTTTTGCTGTGGCACCAAGTTACTTTTGAAGTTAAGGATTTTCCTTTTCGAGTAATGGGCTATTTGGCCTGTATGGGATGAAAACTGACCCTATCCCCATGGCTCTCTGCCATCAGTAGTGGCTCTGTTGCCTAAAGGTTAAGGAGAAAAGTTTCGTGATGTGGACAGCTTGAAAAGTGCAGTACTGCAATTTTATAGGAAATCCAGATACCTGTACTATTGTCTTCCATTCATAAACCTCACTGCATTGCTGTTCTTACTTTCTTGTGTTATTATTAGCCATCGACATCTGCCCATGTGTGGGGTGATGCCTTACATCTCTTCACATCTTTTCTTTGCAGGTCAAAAGATGAGGACGGGATGATCGTGTGTCCTGGAGCTTTTTGTATTATGGTAAAACTGCTTTGCAAACTCTACCACAAAGATCATCCAGAAGTAAGTCTTGAATGGATAATCCATTGAGGTTTTTGCAGTTGCTTTTCTGTTTGTCTCCTAGAAAATGTTCTTGGCTTCTGCTTTGTCAGAGACTGTAGGCTGGTGTAGGTGCAAGATTCTTTCACATCCGTAGTGACTGAGCAGTCAAACAATATGGCCTGGCTTCTGTAGCTGAGGTTTAATAACCATGACCCTTGGCTATGACAAAACATGGAACTAGGAATGCTGTGTTGCTATTTAACATCTCATTTATTTTTAATTCTAAAAATTTAGTTCTGATTTTAAGTACCTTTGTCAAAATGAAGGTCAACCCATGAAACTGACACAGAATGGTGAGGTGTGAAATGGTTGTGTTCAGGGTTCCAGCTGGGCAGGTGTGCTTCTCCACATCCACTTCCACTTTTCTTTCTCAATAACAATCAGTATGGAAGTGAACAAGAGGACAACGACGATGAGACCAGGTCTAGCAAAGAGGTTCAGGGCACTGTTGCAGTTGGAGCTGAGAGAGGGGAGAAGATGGGGTGGAGAAGAGTGAGTGAAGTGCAATGGAAAGAGGCTTCATCTTTCACTTTCCCATTCCAAATATGCTTTCTATGCCACATATTAGATTTTGCAGGCAATTGTCTAATATTACTATGTTCCTTCCAACATCCTTTAATGCTATTTCATGTTGTGGGTCAGTTTTATCCTGTGCTTTTTGTATTAATTTGTATTCATTTTTATTGTGTGCATTTTAAACCCATTAATACATATTATATTGATGGAAATGTCAGAGATGGAGTATCAAACTATGAAAAAGTAGATTGAACAGTGCACTTTTAAGACCTCTGATTTCTAGAGTCTGGACAAGAAGTCCAGTCAAGAGTAATGTCTTTGAAGCACCTACTCTCCACCCTGACCTTTTCTCTGCTTCACCTCCCCAGATTGGAGGGCCCTTGGTTGTTCCTCTAGGGATACATGGGATCTTATTTCTTCCTGGACATTAAGCATCTTCCACTTCACCTGTCTCTGTTCTCCTTGAGTCTCAGATGGTCATGAGGAGAGGATATAGTGTTCTTCCCTGTTCTCTTTTCCACTATTAAATAAATATTGGCTTGACTCCCAGTCAGCTCCCTCTTGGCCCACAGTGTCACTGTTTTTTTTAAAAAAGCCATACAAACTGTACATATGTCTCACCTGCAGTCCAAGTAGCCCTATTTTACTTGATTATGCATTGATCTTCCTACTTCACTTCAAAGTCTATTAATTGACTTCCAGATGGTCCAGCTAGAGTCTTGTCCTAATACGAGACACTCTTCAGCATTCATTCATTCAGCAAGGTGTATAGTTTTTGTTCCCCACATATTTAGACTAGTCTCTTCTGGTTTAATATTTAGAGCTTCAGATGTGTGCTGAAAACCTTTCCTTAGTTTTAACCATCATTTAGAGAGTTGGTGTCCATGAAATGGATGGGCTTGGTGCTGTATTACCTTATTTTGTTCATTATTTGCTTGCACACCTTGACAAACTTCTAGTGGGGCAATGTCAGCCAAATAATAGATTTTTTTGGTTGTTGTGGGTTTTTCAGGCTCTTTGGTCGTGTTCTGAAGGTTGTTCTTCCTAACGTTTTGCCAGTCTCTGTGGCCGGCATCTGCAGAGGACAACATTAGGAAGAACAACCTTCAGAACACGACCAAAGAGCCCCAAAAAAAACCAGAACAACCATTAGATCCCAGCCGTGAAATCCTTCGCGAATATATTTCCTCTTTTTTGTTGAAGTTCTGCTGGTGCTTGTGGATTTCAATTGCTTCCCTGTGCAGTCTGACGTAATGATTCCTGGTGTTGTCCAGTATTTCAGTATTTTGAAATAGAATTTCATGTCCAGCTTTTTTTAGGGCATGTTCAGTTACTGCAGATTTTTCTACATTTTTTTCAATGGGGGTAGATCTGAAGTAGCTAGTAATAATCTTGCATAATTCATTAAGGGCTACATCCACTTGTTTGACATGTGGTGATGTATTCCATATGGCACTAGCATATTCTGCTGTGGAGTAGCACAGGGACAAAACTGTTGTTCTTATTGTTTGTGGGTGTCTGACACAACCAGTTTCCTAAATATGTTATTTGCGGTGGCAACCTTCTGTTCAGAAAATGTTTTCTGTACTCAGGTTTTGCTCCAGAGTGATGCCCAAATATTTTTGGCTAAGCTAAGGCAATGTTCCAAAAACTTGCCTTCTCGGCCAACTTGGACAATATGATCCATCTATATTAATTGAAGCTTTGCCTGCAAAAGATGTGTTCAGGACTGTCCCAGTATCTGTTCATTTGCCTTCCATGCAAAAGTGAAGCAATGACTTTGTAGGATTTCACAAATGAAGATGCTGGAAATAATCTGGCCACCCCATCCCTGGCACACAGCTGGCATGCTTAAATACCAATTCCTCATTGTTGGCATGTCAAGCAAATAAAAATATTTTTCCTACAATATAAATACCACATTCTTAAGAACATTAATTCCTAAATATACTTTCTCTGAAAATATAAATTTTACAAACTTATTCTGATTTTTTTTAATCAATTGTCATTGGGATGTGCAGAAGCTATAACACAACAATGCAACCCCATACATACCTGTGCAATAGTATCTCTAGTTGAATTTAATAGTTTATTCTTTGCTAGGTGATTTAAATCTTGGTTCTGATGTGCTTAGTAATCTCTAAGGGGCATAGCACTTTCTAATGCACATTGAAATTAATAATCAAATTAGTTGGAAACATAATTCCTGAGATGTTTATTAGTGCAATAACAAATTGAAAACTATGGGTATTGAAGTTCATAACACTGAAAGTGCAAAGGGCCATCAAAATGATGCAGTATTTTTATTTTTTTTTTAAAGTGGAGTATTCTATTTTGTTTTAGTCATACCTCATCTGGAATTGTATCCTTGCTGGACAACACAGTTGAAGCTGGAATTATCTAGAGGATGATGCTCAAGATCATAATTGCTCTGGAAATAAAGCCCTATGAAGATTGGTTAAGAGAGCTGGCCTTTTATAAGGCTGATAGGTGATATGATAGGCATCTTTGGTGTTTGAAGGGCTATCAAGGAGAAACTGGCCAGATGGCTTGGTGGTTTAGATATCTGGCTGTGGGACCATAGATTAGAAATTTGATTATCCACTCTGCCTCCTTGACAGAGGTTGGACTAGAGATGTATAATTTCTGAAAATTTCCATTTCCCCCTAACCCACCCCACAGGGAAAAAATGGTTTTTTTTTTGAAATTTTACATCTCTAGGTTGAACCTGGTAATCCATAGGGTCCCTTCCGGCTCTGCAGTTCTAAGATTATAATTATAAACTATAGAGAATAGCATCTAAAACAATGGATTCAAATTTCAAGAAAAAGAGGTAGAGACTCCTAACTGAGCTGTTGACAATGGAACAGACTATTTTGAAAACTAGTAGGATCTCCTTCTTTGTAGGTTTTGGATGATTATCTGTGAGGGACACTTGAGTTGTGGATTTCTTGCCTCAGCAAAGGATTTGATTTCTTGATTGTTAGGGTTCCTTTCAGTTCTACCATGCTGCAATGCTGTGAAGACCAAACCTCCCCACCCCCACAGGATACATATATCCCACCTCATGACAGGCCATCCATAGTTTTCAAATGTATGAATTTGCTTTTGAACTTAATGAAAACAGATTTTTTTTTAAAAAAAAAAACACCAAGGTATTAATGAGCTCTGTAGCGTGGAGAAACGAAAACATAGTTCCCAAGGTGAAGAAGACATGAAATGCAATGGATTAAAAAAAGACAGGAACTACTTACAAATATCTGGGTGATTGCTGAGGGCAGATGGCTTTTTGCCCTTACACTTCAACCTGAGGCAAAGTTGCAAACTCCTCTGCTGATTTCTAATGCACCTCCTATATCCCTGACCAATTGTGGGAGTGATATGTAGGAAAATCAATCCATAACAGCTGGGGAAACATGACTAGTTTCCTGTCACCATTCATTTTTTTCACTAAAACCATTTTTACTGGAATGAGCATCTCTGAAAACAGCACATTTTATCCAAAACAAGGCAGTCTTATTATTGGCAGGGCTGCTGTCATAATGAGTACAATCAATTCCTTGTACTCCATTAAGGCCATATTGAATTTATTTGGGAGGGAAATAATTTACTTAGCCAAGATCTACATAGTTTCTTTTTTTCTCTTTGACCTTGCTTTTTGCTGAAACAAATAATTATTAGGAAATGCAATATTTAAAGGATAAAAGGCATTAAGAGTTACTTTAAAATGTCTGGAGTTTAATGCATTCTCACTTGTTGGAGAAGCAGAGGACCTGATCCTTTGAGAACATCTGTACAAGCAGCACTAAAAGGAGCAAGAGATGTGAAATATTATATTTGTACTTTTAGGCAACTTCAGTTCATTAAGCAGGGCAGGTTGAATAATCTAATCACCCATGGAACCAAACACATCTCACCAACTATGTTGACTAATGTTCTAGATACTACACTTAGTTCTGCAGTCGCAAAGTAAGAACATTCATAGTCCACTGATAATATGCCACACATTTCGCTGATTGCTGGCACAGGAGGGGACTCTGGTTGACTCAGAACTGGGAATGTGGCCCCGTGGCTGACTTTGGGACTAGCATTTTCCACAAGATGCCAAGCTTTTATTAGGAACTCTTTTTTTAAATTTGGGGGATGTGCTAGTGCTAAGAATCCATATAGAAATAAAGATATTCTGGATTGTTTTATCATGCTGAATTGGTACTAATCCATCCATACCATTGCAAAAAGCAAGTAAACTCTTTAAAGATAACAGATTTATCTGCTCAGGAACAGAGTTTCAGGAGTTAGCTATATGCCACTACTGGGAACATAAATTTGTATGATTCTACACATGATGGAATTCGATAGATACAGCTGGTCTGCCAACAGGCCCCAAATGCCATTCTCTTGACTTCACTCAGATATAGCTTCTCTGTCCCCCTCTTTCAGATCCTCAGCTGCTTATCTGACCAACTCTTTAAACTTGTGGAAATTAGCGATAGACATGAGTTCAGTATTTGTGTGACTACAGTAGTCACATTAAGGAGCAGGAGAAGGAAGATGAGGATAAGCCTTTTGTAATGAAAATAGAGGAAATCCAGAATGGAAGCTTCTGGATTTGTTTCCAGATAAGATGCATCCACCAAAATTGCATCTTCTGTGCTGTTACAAGCCTTTTAAGGCCAAAACATGGTACATGCGGTTTGAAATTTAATCCATGAAAGTTGTCCTTTAGAAATGTGGGTGTTTAATTTATTGTTCTTATTGTGTGAAACTGAAATAAGGTGTTTAAATGTTTCAATTGTGGTTAATTAATTCTTTAACTAAATAATTCATTTTATCAAATAAACAGCAGAGTTTACAGAGAATGAGAACAGGTGGATTGTCATCCTTCACATCTAGTGGCAGATTTCTTATTAGCTTTTTCCAAGTGCTCTTTCAGTTGCTTTGAAATGCTTCCCCAAACGGGCATTCCTTCCAGACGGACTACAAATCCCCAAAACATAGCTTGTTTGAAAACAGGTCAGATTGGGAATGGGAGACTGTCCTAAAGCATGGAATCTTATCAACCTGTTCATTTTGTTACTTTTCCCCACTTACGTGTGCTCCCACAAACCTTTTACATCAGAATCATTCACTATACAGTGGTGCCTCGCTTGAAGAGGATAATTCGTTCCGTTCAAATCGCTATTAAGTGAAATCCTCGTCACGTGAAATTAAAAAAACCATTGAAATGCATTGAAAACCGGTTCAATGTGTTCCAATGGGCGAAATACCTGCTCATTTTGCGAAGATCTTCCATAGGGCGGCCATTTTCCAGTGCCTGTAAAGCGAGGAATCCCCCCTAAAGCACAGCAGGGAGCCATTTTGCACAGCGGACGGCCATTGTAGAGCCGCCGATCAGGTGTTTTAAAATTGTTGTCTAGTGAAAAATCAGTTCCCAAACGATTTTTCCCCATAGGAACATCATTTTGCAATCGCAATAGCGATCGCAAAAACTTCATCGTAAAGCAATTTCTTCGTTTAATGAGGTAATCATTAAGCGAGGCACCACTGTATATTGTTTATACAGATTTGGAAATAGAGATTGCATTTAAAATACATAAGGGACATGTTTTTATTTTGCATAAATACCAGCTAAAGTATATAACTCTGAACAACCTAAGTCTTCCAGACCATCTGGAGAGTACTCATCCATAAGAGATTGTATGTGATACTCAGCCCAGTTCTTTCCTGCTCTAAGCATAACCAAGTCTTCCATCAGCCAAATTAACAAAGTGCATATCATCATATTAGCAATATCAGACCTCTGGATTGCAGTGACATGTGACTTAAAACTCCCAGCACAAGCAAACATGCACCTGAAGACCCAGCTCTAGTTTTTGAACTCTTCAACAACAAAATTAAAGGTAGCATAAGCAACTTCCACAAGGTGATTGCCCAGCACAGGAAATCAGCAATTGGCTTTTCCTCTATACTATAAATACCAGTCACTTCTAGTTTTAGAAAATGAGAAGAAAATATTGTTCTGGGACGAAAAAGTTATCATTGACAAAACAGTTTATTTTAAACTTCTTAACTGTTAGAGCAGTATGAGAATGAAAGCAGTTACCCCAGAAGGTGGTGAGCGCTCTAGCAATGGAGACATTCAAGAGAAAATTGGACAGACATCTGTGAGATCTGCTTTGATCTGCATTCCTCTCTTGAGCACTGTGGTTGGACTTGGTGGCCGTATACCCCCCTCCAACTCAATTATTCTATGATTCTAATAAGCCAGATATTACACTTTTGGATAAACAACAAAATAAAACATAACTTTAAAAGTTGGATTTGCCTCAACAAGCAAGCATAAAAGTACAGAAAGTAGCAAAATTGCAAAGTAGCAAACAGTAAGGTAAGATACTAAAATAATGTGAAAGCAAGTGGAAAGCCTCTCCATAGTGATTTCAATAACTGGGAATCATTCTAATATCTTTGGTTACCAATTTAGAATAATTGCCAACAACTGCTAATTTGCTTCCTGAAACTCAAGAAGCAGTGATTTTGTGAACATGTCATCTCACTCACATTTTTAAAGGATTTGAGTCCTAATTTATAGGCATTACCCTTTGGTCCCTATCTACCAGCGGTATTGAGCAACAAGAAGTGCCATGTAACAACAACAAAAACAACAACAACAATAATCTGAACTCAAAGCCATATAGAGAAAAATGAAACTGAAACTTACTAGCCAATGTTGTAAGAAGAAAAAGGAAGAAGAAAGAAAAGAGGGGGAAAAATTCAAAACACAACGTGTGACATTTCAGAGATTCCCAGCACCACCACCATTTCTGCTCTGTGCATGTCATATCCATGTACTGATTGTCCTATGAGCAGCTACTTGAACCCATCACATTTGTTCTTTCTGTCCTCTCCTATTGTTTCCCCCCTTTTAGTTATCATGGGAAATCCAATATGCTGTGGCCGACCATATTCAGTCTTTGATGAAGTCAGAGAAGAGTCGCCAAGTTGCGTGTGGAGCCGGTTTGCTGGACGCCATTATTACTTCCTGCCTAGAAGTGCTGCACAACGCCAGCAATCCCCTGCACCTGCCCGTTATCAGGCTCTTTGAGAAGCTTGCATCCCAGTCCATTGAGCCTGATGTCCTAAGGTAGTGTGTGTGTGTGTGTGTGCGTGTGTGTGTGTGTGTGTGTGTGTGTGTGTGTGTGTGTGTGTGTGTGTGTGTGTGTGTGTGTGGTGTGTGCCTATGTATGTGTTTCAGGGAGCAGGACTCCTGTGTGTGCGTGTGTGTGTGCGCACGTGCGTGCGCGCCTATCTATGTGTTTCAGGGAGCAGGACCCTGTATCATTTGAGGTGCATTATTAACTTGGAAGCTATAGGAGACTCCTTTCCATCTCCCTTCCTATGTAAGATGCTCAGGAGAGACCGGGTGCTTCTGACGTGGTAGGTGCCTCTTTTTTTATGTTGGGAGGAGGACCTGTTGGGTGTGAAGTAATTATAGAGACAGCTCTTCCATCCTTGTGTAAGGAGAGGTTGGGGCCTAAAGCAATGGTGAACTGAAGGAGGGGCTAATATTTGGGAGACTCCCAATTTAAAGAAATGGTTGGGTACATAGAGGCCCAAGGCATTTCTACATTTTGTCCTACAACCTCTTCCAGCTAACTCACCACTCTAAATTCTTTCCTTTTCTCAAGGCTATTTCTTTGACTTCTGTTCAATCCCAAATCATCTTTCAAGGATCTTTAACCTATAGGTACCTCATAGTAACAGGCAGACATTTTGCAGATGAGATATACTTCTGATAGGGTGTGAAGGATGTCCCTCTTCTCTTACTTTAACAGTCCTTGGAACTGTTGGATAACTCAGTGGTTTAGGTATCTGATTATGCTGATGACAAACTGTGTCTGAGGAAATGGATTTACACTGAAATAAAATTGCTGCAGTCTTTTGGGTTTTTCCTTTCCTTTCCTTTCAAATCTTGCAGTGCAAGAAACCTGGTAGGATTTCCCAGAAATGTTGTGATCATTTCTTCTATAAGAAATGTGAAGCTGCGTGGAATTATTGTAATTCCTACACGGAATGGTATCTTTTCTGCATAGGATTCACCTGGAGGAGGTAGAAGAAGCTCCAGGCTGTGCAGGATTGCTCCAAATTCTGCACAGCATGGCATTTACCTGGGCAGGATTTACATGGATATGGCACATAAAACACCAAACTTCACATGATTGTTACAATTCCTCTACAGAATCACGTCTTTCCTACTCTATAATCTTCTGAAAGAACATTAGAAGGCAGAATCTGGCAGTTACATGCAGAGAGCAGTAGGTGAAAAAATGAAAAATAAAATAAAGTGGCAGTGGAGAGAGGTGACCAGCCTCTCCTTCTCATGTGGAGCTGATGCAGTGGGAGATTCAGTGTGGAGTCCCTATATGGCAAGACTCAAAACACTGCTGGGAACAAGGTATTTTGCATGTAGCAGTTTTCTCTCTAGCAATGTGTCCTCTTGGTGCCCTTGACGTTTGCACAATAACTCCTATTGCCCGCCCTCATCTTCATGAACAGTCTTTCCTGATCCAATACCTTCCAGATATATTGGACTACAATTCCCAACAACTTCCAACCAGGGTCCTCTATGAGTAGACTGTCTCAACCAAAGGTTCTTGTTCCTTTTTCGTGGTTGTATGATTTAAATCTCCTTCTCATTGTCTTTTTAAGGAAATTTCTTTGCTTCGGAATTATGTCACCACCTCTAGCATCTGGGTTCGGAATGAGCCAATCCACAGCATTTGTGAACTGCAGAAACAGTTTGTGTCAAGCAGCTTCAAGTAAAGGTGAGTGCCGAAGATCCTTTGAAGTTGTCTTCTAACTGACATTTCCTGATGCGTACCTATTGTTTCACTGCAGTCATGTCCTATCTGTGGGCAATGGCAACATCTCATTAGAATAATTGCCCTGAAGAAATGGCATGCAAAATGTTTATATTCCCTTCATAGCTTTTATGTAGGAAATAAAAAGTAGAGATTCAATTACATCCAAGAATAGTTTGGCGGACGACCCAGCCCTAGGAAATCTCATTTTGCTTCTGGCTCAGCACTTGCATTTTGAGTACACTCGTTTACATCTTTCATTTATTTTGTGCTTCGGTTTGTTGATATGCAGAGCAACAGTTCATTTCTGCAAAAACGCATGTAGTTTTTGAAAGCAGGCTGATGATGCGCTCACCTGCATACTCACAGCTTGTTCAATTAAGATCATTTACTTGCTTATGTACTTGCAGATATATGTTCTTATTTATTGTGTCAAGGTATCTGTGTGATGAGTGTGATACTCCTGGCAGGATCTAAAGTGTGATACTCCCCTGTTACAGGCAACATCTTGAAAGAATTAGTAGTTCTTAATGACTTTTCCTGGAGCAAAATATGTACGTATTCAGGATTATCTTGGCTGTTGATACAGATGACAGATCAGTCAATGGCTGCTAGCCACAGTTAAGTATAACTTATTATGTTTGAAGAAGACTGTCTCTGTCAGTTGCTAGAATCGGACAAAGTGTAGGGGAGGACTATTACCTTCATCCTCAATTTGAAAAAAAAATGTTACAATAAAAACTTAAATCTATAACATTCTAATTAGAGAACAAAATGTACAGCTAGAACAGAAATGATATTCCATGGCAGTCAGGTTCATTACAAGCCACCTGAACAAGAAGGTAATGGCATAAAAATGTTATTAGCTCAGTTCATTTTATATAATTACTTTGAATTAATTTTCATCATTCCGTTGGTCTGTGAGAGTGGAATATGGATGAAGTGATACTGAATATTGAATATTGTCTTGATTATAATGTTCAGTAGAAAGGTGCCAAATTTTAAAACTCTAAAAACAGATACTTTAAAAGTTTTAAAAATAGAAAAAACAGAGGAAATGTCATTTTCATGTATATCTCTAAATTGGGTAGTACTTTTTCCCCATAAAAACTGTTTACCAGATTACCTCCTCTCAGAAAGGAATTGACAAATCATCTCCTTCCTTCCATAAAGCTGTGATAGCCAATTCAGTGGCAAAACAGGAGATGCTACAAGATTTTAATGCAAAATATTGGAGTAATATAAAAAATAATCTATACTAGGACAAATAGGTGGTTTCTGATCAGTTAATTGTTCCATCACTTCAAACACCCTCATTCAGAATTTAAAAATCCATGGACAACTCCACCATATTTGTTAAGTGCCAATTCCATTGTACCCCCTTCATTTTCAACTCAGCCTCTTACTACAATTTAATTTAACAGTGTTATAATGCAATCTGTAAAGAGTTTTAAGGTTATGTTATCTAATTTTGGATGAAAGAGATGCCATTGGCATCAAAGGGCATAATTATATGGTCTTAAATCATAAACCAATGAATCAAAGACTCATTTGATGAAGAATAGCCCAGGTGCTCTTCCAGAAAACATACATATCCCACAGAGGCTCTATAGAACTTGCTCAGTAAAATCTTACAAAGTGTAGAAGGCAGACATTGTTGATTTTCCCATTCCAACATACATAAATGTTTGGTTGAGTTTAGAGTTCTGCAAGTGTGATCTGTAACAGCAGCAGTTGAAATAAAATGTTGACTTTGTAAAAGTTGGAAGCAAAAGAGTTGTAAAGGCAATAGTTCTGGATATTTTTTTGCTGTCATGCTGAAGCGTGCCTTTGGACTTTGGACTAACTATCAGCCTGAAGAAAACACAAGTCATGGGCCAGGGCGTGGCCTCACCTCCCTCTATTACCATCTCCATGCAAGAATTGGAGGTTGTCCATGAATTTGTGTACCTTGGCTCAACGATCTCTGACACGCTCTCCCTAGATGTCGAGCTGGATAAACGCATTGGCAAAGCAGCTACCATGTTCTCAAGACTCACAAAGAGAGTATGGCTCAATAAGAAGCTGATGGCATACACCAAGATCCAGGTCTGTAGAGCCTGTGTCCTGAGCACACTCCTGTACTGCAGTGAGTCCTGGACCCTTTGTGCATGGCAGGAGAGGAAGCTGAACACCTCCCATATGCGTTGCCTCCTATGCATTTTTGGTATCAGCTGGCAGGACAAAGTTCCAAACAGAGTAGTCCTAGAACGACCTGGAATTTTTAGCATGTGTACATTACTGAAACAGCGATGTCTACGTTGGCTTGGGCATGTTGTAAGAACGGCTGATGGTCGGATTCCAAAGGATCTCCTGTATGGAGAATTAGTGCAGGGAAGCTGCCCCAGAGGGAGACCACAGCTGCAATACAAGGATATCTGCAAGTGAGATCTGAAGGCCTTGGAAATGGATCTCAACAGATGGGAAACCCTGACATCTGAGCGTTCAGCCTGGAGGCAGGCGATGCATCATGGCCTCTCCCAATTTGAAGAGACCCTTGTCCAGCAGGCCGAGGCAAAGAGGCAGTCATAAAAAGAGCAAAATCAGGGAGCTCGACGAGGTAAAGATTGTATTTATCCTCAGTGTGGAAGGGATTGTCACTCTCGAATTGGCCTTCTCAGCCACACTAGACGCTGCTCCAACTCCTCCGTACAGAGCACGTTACCATAGTCTCTCGAGACTGAAGGATAGCTATTCCAGTTCTGGTTGTAGCTATGCATTTGGGGGCTGTTACCAATATAAAGACCTTTAAGATGAACAACATCTGGTTTTTCCATCCCCTGGATAGAAGCTGTTTTTTTTGGGAGGGGGGGATTGTATTGTCATCCAGAAGATGACACAGAAAGGGGGATGGATCTGGTAACTTCTCTTTCTTTGGCCTTCACATTAAAAAAACACTTTAGAATGGGTTGTGAATGTTTTTTAAATTACATGATAAGAATTGAAGGCCCTGTGAAGTTTCCTAATTATTCCTTTCCACTTCAAAAAAAGCCATATGCAACTCTCTCCCTGTGCCATGATTCTAATTAAGTGACCTAGCTGAAAGGCTGAATAATAATAAAATTAGAATCGTGAGCCCTCCATTCTCATAGTTCTGATAGATAACAAATTCTGATACCTTTTCTCATTTCTCATAAAGAGCCAGTCAAGAAACTGCTTGGAGCCAAATCCATCAATGTGGAGCCCTTTAAGACAATGCAAAAAAATTATTTTTTTAAATAACTGAAGCAGCGCTTCAGTGATAGTCTGTATGCAGTAAAAAAATTCACTTCCCCTGCTTCAAAAGAAGTGCTTAATTTGCCAGTATCTTGATTTATAAGCTGTGTCACAGTATTAGGAAATTCAAATGGGAAGACTTGCTTTGGATTGGTTTCAGAGACCACATGTGCTGGAAGTGATCCCAACCAGAGCGATCCTACCTGCACCAAAAATGTTGTAGCCCTTTAACAGGGGCCAGAAAAGTGTGGGTAAGAATGCTCTGGGGGCAGGCTTGTGTACGCCAGTAAATATGTCATCGGATTGCTGTCTTTAAGAGAGCACCAGCTCATCCCTGCAGTGCTCCAAACAGTGGGCCAAATGCCTATGTTGTCAACCTCAGTCTGTTTAACCTGACCAATATAAAAATACCTAAATGTTTAATTTCTTTAAATGTGACTGAATTTGGGTTTGAATTTGAATAATTAGCTTAAATAATATCTATATTAAATCCCAATACAGTGTGCCTCGTATAACGAGTCCCGTTTAACGACGAATCCGCATAGCGATGCGGATTTTGCGATTGCAAAAGCGATCGCATTGCGAAGTTTCCTATAGGCCCCATAGGCCCCATTTCCCCCCAGCTGACCAGCGGGCGCTTCCGAGTGACCGCGGTGGAGGCTTCCCCGGTGGTCACTCCGAAGCCTGCGCCGCCCAGCTGGGGGGAGGTTTGGAGCGCCCGTGGTGGAT